CTGCGGAATAGGCTCGGATAGCTTGTAAGATGCTCTAGGAGACTAAAATGGACAAGTCGGACGGTAGAGGTAGACAGTTCGACTGTGACAAGACCCCGGGAAGATGCAAGGAGGGTCTGTAGGGCAGGAGCGTTTTCAGGATCCATATCTGAAGATCCAATCTCCACTCCCAAGGCATGGAAAAGCTCCTCTGTCCGCAAAGGCCTCTCCGAATACAACACCCACATCAGCACCTTCATTCCGAGTTCTGATTTATCCCTCTTCTGTCTCCTCAACCGCGTTAGAGCTACTGTGTAAGCATCACTTAGCCCATTGCCTTCTATCATCTCTTCGAGCTTCTTTCTTCTCTGAGGAATTGTCACCTCTCGCAGAATCGTGTCGATTCTTAGAGAAACAAGGAGGAATCTGCACACAATAGTCCGTGAGTTCATACAATGATAAAGTGAAAATGCTGGATTCCTTTACGCACATATCAGATACCCTTTCTCGGATACTTCCCATAATATCCGCCCGTAAATTGTCGTCCATCGCTTGTGGCTGCACGTCCCTCTCTAACCTCATCTCCAGATAATTCTGAATATCATCCCCATTCGAGCTGATGGGTGCCACAGCGAGCGTGGTGAAATATGGTTGGATATCTTTCTTGATATTGCGCCGCCCCGTGAGGAATATTCTAACGCCGGGGGAATCCCGCACAATAGCTCTCAGCGACTCAAGCAACCCCGGAAGCCGTTGGGGTAGGCACTCGTCTAGAGCGTCTATACAGATGAAAACTTGGGGTACCGAAGCAACGGTGATCCTCAGTATTTCCATCAACTCCGGAAGTTCCAATCCATTGCCACCCATCTCCCTCCTTCCCCCTTTGCGGAAAGCCCTGCGTAGATACTCCGGAATTCCCCCTCTGGCTACGAGCTGTTTGACAATGGCTCCCATAATGTTGGCGATTGTCTGATCCTGTTGGGCAAGGTAGTCGCAGTACAAGCCTGCAACCGCGACATCTTCCTCCCTAGCCTGATCAAGCAGGCTGTCGATCACCAGGGAACTAGAATTTCTCCGTCAGCGACACCTCCCCCCTCCTAAATGCCTGTTAATTACCTCAGATATGTTTTTCCCACCCCTGGATTCCCGCTGCAAAACAAGACAGCTTTATCTGCTCCACCATCACACCCTCTCCACGCCCGAAACTCTCTAGTTTGCAAAAACCACTCCCCAACACCGTCGAATCGATCATCGCGCACGCTTCGATGTCGATTACCTGGCTCTAGTGGGGAGAGCCACCGCATAATCTGTGCATCCTCACTCGACCGGTAGGCGGTGTTGTTGAAACCACCCATGCTGTCGGCGTTGAATGGGCTGCGGTCGACTAAGTGGATGGATGGTATATGTGTAGTCTAGGACACGAATTTCGGTTAGAAATCTTGATCAGAGAGCTGAATGGTGTGGGAATTGGCACTGGTGTTGGGGGGATTTATGAATTTTCTTCTAGCGGGGAGGAAAGAAGGAGGGTGATGTGGCCTGTAGCATCCAATCCGTTAAACCTAACCCACATGCCTAATGAACAACAACAAGGTGGTGGAGCCTTCCCCGAACCAGCAGTACCGCGCCCACAACAGGCATTCGGAATTTACCGCAGGTTGCTTGCCTAAAACGGCTTTTCTGAAGTATGTCTAAGGCCATTTTGAGTGTGGGAAACCCGCTAATCACCGAGAACAATCACTTTTCCAACCCGATGCTTCCATGGTAATAATACAGACTGCCACAAATACACAGCATGCTGTCGGGGGCCTTAGGCTGGGCTGGATATTATGTGCTTCGATGGGTAACAGGCAGAGGGGAGGATCGCCACGCGGGTAAGCGAGTCAGGAGCGGTATGTAGCTGTAAGCAGTTTGTTCTCGGCCGAGGAGTACAGAGGCCCAATCACCCATAATCTTTTGGATCACTCTCAGGACAACACCTTGTGCCGCCATGCCTAATCTCAAGATCCCAGAATTTGCGCTTGAACATCTAGGGGGGTGTTGTGAGGCAAGGAAACAACTAAAAAAGTATCAGTCTATCATTTTTGAGCCCCATGAACTGATTATACTTGAGCCTGCCATGTAGATGACCGTTAGTTCTTGTATTTCGTCACATTATTCCAAATCTCACACCGCCTTCCCCCAAGTAGTTCCCCAGGAAATAAAAACGATACCGCCCTCCACACTCCCCTCAGATACCCTCGCAGCCCCTATTATCCACAACCACCTCTCATCCGGCTATATTTATATAAATATCTCATTCGGTATCCCTTCGTGGGGGCTGATGACAAATACCAACCTTCCAGATCAGCCACAATTACCGGGTACTTTACAGTCACTGGGGAATGTCTGCACTCTCGAGCAACCCCCCCGTGGATATCCGCAGTTTCTGCAGTCTCTATGGGTTCTGCATGCCCATTAGTCCGTTGGATACGGGAGAGAGAAGCAAGGAGAAATTGAAAAAGCGCATCGGATGAAAACCCCTCGAGTTTTATTCCAGCCCTGAAACGGTATCCCCTCAGTCCTCAATCATATATATTATCGTGGCTACCCCCTCTGGCAAGAGCAAAAGATTTCCTGCACCCTCTATCAATCCCGCACTTCTCTGGCACAGGGAGTTGACCAATTCCTAGATGGCTGAAAATGTGTCCCTTTTCACGAAATAAATGACTACTTCGGCCACCTGCGCACGGGGCACGCTATGGCCCGGCAATTTCATCTATCTTGCTCCCGGTGGCCAACAATCCACCCCCACCCCGCGCTATCCCCGACCTTCGTCCCAAGCTCCTAGCACACCACTATCCGGCTTGTCATGACCCCGGTTTACTTTACCAACACTCTAGGGTCCTCCCTAATATACCTGACAACTTTTTATTTTCTGAGAATTCACTCCAAGCCTTTAACCAACACCCTGGCGATTTCCTTGTTCTCTAGGATCTCACTGAGCTTATCCCCTTAGCCTCTTGGTATGCTTGTCATCTGCAGTTCAATAGTTTCCAACAGATCTGCAACTTCCGGTAACCTTCCCTTCATGCGCTCTGAAGCAAGTAAATAGCGTACTGAAACCCCTCCTTGAATACTAGCATCTCCTAGGCCTTTTATAGTCTCTCAAGGGGATTGTTTCAGGTGGGTGTATCACTACCCAGCCACACACACCTTATAGCACTCCACCAGAGTGCTACTCGGTGAGCAGAGCCTCCCGGAATTGAGGAAATTGGGGCATAATGTGTTGTGCTCGTTCTACGCTGATACTGCGTAATCCTTTTGCAACCTGAGGCAAGAGGTAAATTGAACTACTTCTGGTAGTAAGAAATAAATCCAACCCCCCGGAGAGTTGGGGAATGTGAGCAAGAATTCAAATCATTAAGTAGAAATGCCACTCTAAGCAGCAAAATTATGGTAGCAGGGTGTGCACCATTAAGAGAAATTCCATCGCCCGACTATTTGGACCTGCGTTCGGTGTACTAGCGCCGCCCCTTCTCACCTTTCATACACTACACATCCCGACAAACTCACTTTTAAGTGTGAAAATGGCTGCCTTATTAAACTAAGTGCGTTCAGTTCACGAGTGCGGAATATTTGGACATATATTTCGGGGGGAAGCCGGATGATATTTCATGCTTTCGCTACATATGGTGGATTGCTATGTAAAGCAGAAATTGGGTCCCATACTTCCACCAGGTTCACCTCAGTAATATTTCTGTATTGGATTAGGCTATGGTTGACTGTGTCATCGTATCTGTAGGGGATTAGATTTCTCCCAAGTCGGGTGCCAAGAGTTTCACCCGTATGTGCGAGAAGCTATCTATACTCCCAGCAATTCTATTGAAGAATTGGTACTAAGACAATTCCTGGGCCATCAAAATAGTTTCTTCAGAGCTATCGGTAAGCCCTACACCCACCATACTAACTTGGCCTGCATGTGTTGAGATCCCGCAGAGGAACACCGCGGTATCATCACGGTGGGTATAGGTGCTCCTAAATTTGTAATATCAGAACTAGCATCAACCACCTTCTGCCCAACAATCTGTAAGGAGTCAGGGCACTTCGGTGTCAACACCACGATTAATTCAAGGTTTTATGATATTTTAGACACAGCCGGATATCATGCATGCATTGAGCATATGCCAAGGGCAATTCTACTCCCGGGTAGTCCATCCGCGCTGTTACCAGTGACCATCCCTTCTTCCCTCCATCCAACCGCACCCGTACGGCCTACCCGGCAACCATCCTACATCCTTGTCCCACTTTTTCCCCACTCTGCTTGGCCGTCTCACATCGTTGTTCTCTTTTTATTATATTACTTTACCCCCGATCTATCAAAGCACACAACTCACTTCAATCACCCGTTTTGATGATATATTCAACTAGCTGCAGTCGGAATATGGTAGGCTAGTGACTAGTGTACTGTGCCCGGATTAATTTTGTTATCCTGGGGGGGTCTCGAGTCGCTACGTGGCTATAGTGCAACTCCACGGTCACGGGAACATCCTGGATGTAATGTCTGCTACCGGTATGCCAAGCGCCAGGCGCGGTATGGCCAAAACTGATGCTGTAAGTATTAGTGCTGTGCATGAGACTTATAGTCATCACCAAAAATGTTAGTAGAGATTATGTGGTTATCAAATCACTCCGAAAGGCGAACCCAAACCAAGTGCGAGATTAGTTTTGTTTTTCCCTCCAAGGTGCGGTGAATCTCGCTTTAGCCAGTTGCCTCAGTGCAGAAAGGGTTGGGCTTCAACTTGGACCGCTTAGGTCTTGAGGTATTATCTTTATAAGTCATGTATCATATCTCATTCGTGCTTATTTCTTCATCATATCTGCTAGTGTATTCACTCTTGACTGCCGTATTCATTTTGTGCCAAAAACTAGAAAAGTAATTAAACTACAGGAATACTGAATGGCAAGGCTCCTCCAAGTGTAAGTAAATAGAGCCATGAACAGGGAGTTGCAAGGCCATGGGGATCGTGAGGGGGTCCGAGTTGTCACATCGTCAGGTCACTTGGTCCGGTATCAGGATTTCGCACAACTATAACAGGCACGGAATCTCACAAATTGCCAATATATTTAAGAACTATGCTACTAGCATTACACCGCCTCCGCTGCACGCAACTTTAATACCACTTACCCCTCAGCTTCCTCCTCCAGATCAACTTCAGCCTCAAGTTGCTCCCCCGCTCCACAAACTCTGCAAACGATACTCCATCTGTCTCCCCTCGTTTATACACATCCACTGCCCTGGCATGTAGCAATACTTCCAAAACCCAGAAACTCTCCCTCTTGGCCGCCAGAACAATTGCCGTCTGTCCCACCCCCGCAATCCTATTAAGGTCTGCTCTTCCATCCTTCACCAATGCTTTCACAATATCCCCATGGTCATTCCATGCCGCGAGGCCGAGCGGAGTCCAATCATCTCCTGCTAAAATATCCGGATTTGTTATTTGTGGGTAGTGAAGGAGCTTCTTGAAGGCTTTTTGATTCCCAATCTCAGCAGCTGTATGGAGTGGTGTGCGTCCTCTCTTGCATGGAGTGAGGATATTGACAGAGGGATGGGAGAGAAGGAGGCGAAGGGCGTCTCTGTGGCGGTATTTGACGGATGAATGGATGGGTGTGAGGCCTGCTTCATCTTGCGTATTGACCTCGACTCTTCCATCCGCTAGTAGTTCTCTCACCACCGATCCATGACCTAGGCAACAGGCGATAGCTAGTGGTGTTCTGCCTGCGGTCGAGTCCCAGTCCACATTGCAAGAATTCACCTCAATGTTCTCCAGGTTGAGCAGAGCGCTAACAATCTCTTCATCTCCTATCGACGCCGCGAGCCACAGGGGTGTTCTATTCCATGCATCTCCCGCATTAATATTTACTTTCCCACTCTCAATGAATGCTTTCACTGCACCAAGATTGCCCTCCTTGGCTGCTGCACAAAGGGGCGTTTCCCCAGACCTGCTGTGTACAGATGGAGGAACACCACAGGCCAGGAGAGTACAAATTGTGGTGTAAGACTCAGTTTTGGCAGCAAAGTGCAGAAAGTCTTGTGGGATCATGGGAAAATCGTAGACGAACGAGATTATACCGCGGTCAAGAAGCGACCGGACAGTGACGGCGTCCCCTCGGTTGGCTGCAGAGAACATCACCTCTCTGCCCCAGATTCTTGACTGCGTATTGAAGACCAGGTCTATCAAGGTGTCCTCCAGGAGCAGCTCCAGCCACTGGTGTGTATAAACAAAGGAACCAAAGTCCCCTAGGTCGTCTTTCAACTCATCCGAAATCTGGATGAGCAGCTCATTCGGTAATGATAACAGAGACATATTCCTCGGTTCCTTTTACCATATATAAAGGACTAAACCTGGTGTAAAAAGATAGCTAAATAACTGGCAACCTGCCCCGGACCACGAGAAGGATGGTTGAGGAAACTGAGCCCAAATGGAGGAATTCTGGAAGGGAAATTGTTTGTCGATGACCAGACAAACCCCGCTGCCAGTGGTTCGGCCAGGGAGGAGTGAGCGAAAGGAATAAATGGAAGGAGCTAACGTTGTTGCTGTGTTCTCAAAAGCATGGGGTTTGGTTCTCGTGCTGGTTGCTCAAGTGTCTGCACAGAGACAACATGAGCAGTTAGGGAAGGAACAGAGGGGGGGAGGGGGCATGATAGGTTCTTATATAGACCTCTTGGACCTCCAAACATCTCTGAGAACAGACCCTACATGAACCCTATTACACAAGCCCTATGTTGGTATTTGGAAGCCTAATCAGCCCAAGGGCACAGAAATATTTGCACATTCAAAAGAAATATGATATAATAGCATATCATAACAAAATTCTTTTCCAATAGTATTTAGTACCCTGTTTCCGGAGCATCGGGTTGTCATACGTTATATCTTTCGCCGCTGAAAGTTGAAAGACCATATTATTTTGGAACGCCCAACCGGGCCCCCCAATGCAAAAGAAGGTACAGTTATTCAATAGCTGTTCTCTCAGATCTATGTTGTTTTGGGTTTGGTATTAGGATATGTTATGATATATACAGTTTGTAAAAATGGAATGCACAACGCACAGGGCATTAGACTACGTGCGACGGCCTGATTTGGGGGTGGGGAAATTATTTTTATTTAGTAAAGGTTAGGAGGAGGTACCTGCCCATCTGCCAAAGTACAAGTGTTTAGGCTGTTATAGGTGTATGTAAGGGAGGGGGGCAAGTATACACATCTTGAGATTTTGAGAGTATTCCACCTAACAATTGTCCGTCGGAATGGGGGGTCCGCTCGTGATCATAGTCTCTCACTCGGCCAGTTTGTAGGGTTACATACGTGTTGAATATACGAGAACAAATACGTACAAGCGTTGTGAATATTCACAGATATACGCCACTCTACATGCACCTCTGATACCTGGCACCCAGTTCTGCCCTCATTTTTGCTTTCTCTTCACTTGTTTCCTTCTGTCCTCTCTGACAACTCTCACAATAATCAAACCGTATCCTTCATCAACGTCTCATCAATACACACAGTTCCATTTCCTTAGTTCCCTCTCTCCGCTCTTGACTCTTAATGGGTAACCTCAATTCCATTCTCTCTCTTTTCTCACTCTCCTCCTCCGGTTCCTTAAAACCCTCGTAGCAATCATTGACACTCCCGTCCGACTCGTGTTCCCCATGAGCCCGCTCGAGTTGGTTCGGCTTGATAGGAAATAGACTCGAGCGGCTCGAGATTTAAGGCAGGGCTCGAGCCTCCCCGAGTAGGCTCGGGAACCAAGGCTCGAGCCCGGTTTCGTTAGTGGTCACGTAGTATCACTCGTTAAAATGACCTACAGGGGTGTTAGAATCTCACGAGTGTCAAGAGTTTTCAACAGCGGAAGGTTCGTTGATTAAGTCTATCTAGAGGAAACAACAAGAGCAGGTGTCCTTTTATAGCCGCCCACTTCCACTGAGAGCCGAGCTGGGATCTCGCCTCTCTCTCAGAGCAAACAGTAGACGCGCGGCCTCCAGACAAGGTGACAAGGAAGAACACATGAGTAAGCATGAATCCACAGCATGTTGCATGCAACCTGCAACAACCCATCTTAAAGCAATACCAAGGAACATGCAATATACAACACTCCCACCCTTCCTGTCACCGATAAATATATCTGAGTCCCTCAGCTGAATTCCATGTACCATATCAAATATCATCATTAAAAAGGAATGAAAAGAAAAAC